TCCAGGTGTGGCCACTGTAAAGGCCAGCAGCCCTGTAAGGTGACGGAGGGTCACTGTGAAACGTGTGAGAGCGGCTGGAACGGGACAAAATGTGATCAGCTGTGTGCAGAGGGTTACTTCGGAGAGAACTGTAAGGATCAGTGTCCGCCGTGCAAAGACGGTCATTACTGCAACCGCATCAACGGGAAGTGTTCCCACTGCAATCCCGGCTGGATTGGAGATCGGTACAGATTTTCGGCAACTGTAGCTAACCGTTACAAAGTTGAGAAGTGAGGGGGGAATTCACTAAAAAAGAATTATGCTACTGACAGAGCTGTTTATTTACATACACTATCTGCATTTTCAGCAAAATTACTCCAGTCTTTAGTGTCACATAATTTGCTGCTCAAGAAACATTTCTTATTATTATCAATGTTGAAAACAGTTTGAAATGTATTTGAAACAGTTATCTTTACTGTCACTTTTGATTAATTTAATCGCATCCTTGCTGAATAAAAGTATTAATAACATTTAAATTAAAAAAAATTATTTGAATGTAGTGTAAATGTTAAAGGGGTCATATGATGCTGCTAAAAAGAACATTATTTTGTGTATTTGGTGTAATGAAATGCGTTTATGCGGTTTAAAGTAAAAAAAAACACATTATTTTCCACATACTGTACATTTTTGTTTCTCCTCTATGCCCCGCCTTTTCGTAGGTATGTTGGGGCGTGTTAGAACGAGCCGTTTTAGGTAGGCGTGGTTAACTCTTAACTTTTATAAAGAATATCTCTTTGGATTTGAGACTTTAGTCTTTGCAACTTTACAGATCTTCTTTATGCACCAAGAGCTTGTAACACTCCAAAGAGAAAGGAAAAATTGAAATCACATCATATGACCCCTTTAATAAATGAAATAAAAAATAAATAAAATGTTAACCAGCAAATATTGCTGATTTTTATGAATGAAGCACAATCTATAATACTAATATTTGCAATTAAGAGAATTATAATGGTGCTGTAAACCAGTTTGATTAAACTAAATTGCACGTGATTAGTAAATAAAACGGAGGTTTTTGCTATGAAATATAAAAGTTTTAGTGAATTCACCTCTGAAAATTTTATATGTTGCTCCTTAAGTATTTTTTTGGAGATTATTTTGATGAAGACTGAAATAGTCTTTGAATTGACCAATTGTATAACCTCTACCTCTTTGCATCTCTCTCTCTGTATTCAGCTGTGAGGTGCGCTGTCCTAACGGCACCTATGGAGAAAACTGTGAAAAAGACTGCAGCCATTGTTTTAATGGAGACTGCCATTTTGCCACAGGAGAGTGTCTCTGTGACCCTGGCTTCTATGGGACATAGTAAGTCACATCTGAGTCATGCACAAATTTAGGTCATCTTGATATCTAGGCCTGTTTTCATTGACCAATGAATCACAGAAAAACCCAAAGACTCATGCTAAATGGTTTAAAGAAGAGTAAACCTTGCTAAATAGGACACCAAAAATGGTTAAATATTAATTGATACTTTGTAAATCGAGGCACTAAACATGTCCATCACAGAAAGACATGGTGATACTCAGGGGAGTATCACATAAACACATAAGTGTATGTTTTGTGAGGAAAAGCATATCTTTGCCCTTATAACAGAAGGAAAGCATTTTTGATACTCTGTTGGGTATAATTACTAGTGCTGTCAAACGAATAATCGCGATTAATTGCATCCAAAATAAAAGTTTTTGTTTATATAATATATGTATGTGTACTGTGTTTATTTATTATGTATATATAAATACACACACATATAGTATATATTTTGAAAATATTTACATGTATATACATTTATATATTTATATTACATATTTTTCTTAAATATATACATGCATGTGTTTGTATTTATATATACATTATAAATATACACAGTACACACTCATATATTATGTAAACAAAAACTTTTATTTTGGATGCTATTAATCGCGATTAATCATTTGACAGCACTAATAATTACGATTGCAAGACTTATTAATATTGATGAGTCTGAATCACTTAAATGTTCAGATTTCACTTAAACTTTGTACAGAAGATAATTTCAGTCTTAAAGAATTTTTATTTTATTTCAATTTTTTTTTTTGGTTTGTTTTAAACGTTTTATTTTTATTTAAAAACATTCCTGTAATGGCAAATCTGAATTTTCAAGTCACATGATCCTTTAGAAATCATTCTAAAATGCTGATTTGCTGCTTAAGAAACATTTATTACTTATTATTATCAATGTTATAATGCAATATTTTTGTGGAATCCTTGATAGATTTTTTTTCAGGACTCTTTGATGAATAGAAAGTTAAAAAACAGCATTTATTTCAAATAGACATCTTTATAGATTCAGATTTCTGTTTATTTCTTAATACATTTTAAAAAATTATCAATTTTGATCAAATTAGTATTAAGTACATTTAAATAAAAATCCTACTGACCTCAAACGTTTGAAAAATGAAATAAACACAAATTGTTAGAATATTCAGCCTTCAAATCTAAAATGGCCAGTGATGACGTCCTTGTAATATCTGCATTCTGAACTGCAAATTGTTCCTTCAGTAACTTAGTTTATTTCACTTGATCAAACCTATCTTTAACCTATCTGTCAAGTGAAACCAGTCACTAAACATTAAAGACTATTGGAAATTATTCTAATACGGACCACACAATGCACATGAATCATATCACACCTTTATCTTCGGTTGATGAAACATCACTTGATCGAAGATCTGAAAGACAAGATCAGAGAACACATTAAAACAGAATTCATTTTTACTTCTTTTCTTTAAAAGAGAAAATCTGTTCTTGTTTCATTCATTGCAAATGCTAAATTCCTCTTCCCTGTTCTTGCATTTCCAATATCAACATAATTGCCTGTAACTGCCTTGTTCCATTTTCACTGGAAACTCCTGTTGCTATGTACACAGTGCTTATACTTCATTCTTTTCATTGTTTTTTATGTGCTCTTTGTATTTCTCTTCATTTTAGCTGCAACCTGACCTGTGAGTTTGGTCAGTTCGGAGTGAACTGTGCCCAGACCTGTCCCTGTCATGACAAGAACTGCAACCCAGTGTCAGGGGCCTGCAACCTATGTAAGACACCCTTCCTACCTCTATTTGGGAAAAGCAAATGTAACTTCTCGAGCTTTCTGTTATTTCATTTGCTATGGAGACTCAGCAGAACTCCTATAGTGTTGAGACATACTTGTGGGGTCCAACATCAGTCACATTTTCCATTACGTAAAGGGGAGGGGGGAAAATAGCTGCCCAGTTGACGCCAAGGTCAACTCAAGATTCCACCTTTTGACTCACGACGGATTTGTGAGGACATCGGTTACTAAAAGTGGAACGAGATGATTTTAAATACAGCAAATGCAGCATGACATCACGTCATGGTCATTATACGCAATATGCATTGCATTACAGCCACCTTGATTTTTCCAGGCTAAACAGTTTTCGTCAATGGTGCGCAAAAAAGGATAAGGAAAGGAGAAGTTCCAAACAGGACGAAAAAAAAATACCATTAAAGTATTTTTAAAAAATCATTTTCTTAAACATTAATGTTGTTTTGCTTTCCATTAAAGCATCCAAACATCCTTAAAATAAATAATTCTTTACAAGAAGGCTTGTTTTCAGAGAATATATTTAATTAATCAGAGAATATCCATTAAGTGGTTTCCTTTACTCATTGATAGTCATATTTCAGCAATTTGCTAAAAAAAAAAAAAATTTGCTTAACTGGAAATATCAACAAATTTTGAATAAAATGCATGAAATTGTTTACAAGCTGGTTTTAAGTGAACGCAAGTTTTACCAATGATACAGTTTGCGAATGAATGGGTATACCCAAACAGAAAATTTAGATATAACTGAAACTGTTTTCTGATGTTTCTGACAAATGTGTAAAACAGCCAATATTCATGACTGACTAGTCGATGGTTTGAATAAGTTGGTCAAGGCACCTGTGTTGAAAATCAAGTTTTTAAATGTTGTTTATATGTCTATGTGGTGTTTTTAATATGCTTTAAGACAAACAATGTGGAAATTCATGTCAACACCATTGCGGAGTATTTTCTCCTTTTAAACTCCAGTGAAGCAAATACAGTCTCAAAAACGTGGTTTGAAATCGGCAGTGTTTCTTACGTCACAAACTACCTTGTAACCAATCAAGGTGTAGAGTTACATTCAAGCTATTTTAAGGCACGAAGAAATTTTTTTTCACAGGAATTTTTTTTTTAAATATCTCATTTTGGTGATCAAAGAGGAGTTTCAATCACCTTCACCCTTTCTGTAACAACATTGAAAGCTCAGCCAAGATGGAGGAACAGTTGATCATAGCTGTCCAGGGATAGCCATTTTAAAATAAATTTAGTAGCAGAGCTACTGCAAACGATTTTCAGTGCTGGAAATCCATTTATCCTTTACTGAAACTTCCACATCATCATGGATGATGAGCTTAGCAACGGCAGACGCAAGGGGAGCGCAAGCCACCGAGCACTTTAGAAAGAAGGAGAAAGCTGTGCGGCTAGCGTTTTCCACGTGTTTTAGGTGCGACATGTGAACGGCCCCTAATAATCCACAGCAATCACACCTGAAAAACTTTTATTACATTAAAAACCTTTTTCTATTGTAATTTTTTTGTCATATAGCTTGTAATTACATTCTTTGTTCTTATTTTATTACTGTTTACTTTAATATGTTTGAGAATGTTTTACTCTACATTAGACTAGTATTTTTTATAGACTATTTATTTTTATTAAACTTATTTCCTGCAAAAAGAACTAGATTGTGATATATTATTATCGTGAAACAAAATGACTCATATTGTGATAGAAGACGTTGGTCATATCGCCCACTGCTAGATCACAGTTTCTCATGGAGATACTGTATGGACACGAAGCACAAATTTTCAACAAATATATTTGTTGAGCACCTATACTTTTAATTAACAAAACTATCAGTTCTTAAAAAAAGCTAACTCTAAATGAATTACAATTACAATTAAAAATGCAGGCCTACTTTAATACATTTGCTTTATGTTTAAAAGTTATTATCTTGATGCTCTGAATAATCATTTAAATGTCATGTGTTTGTATACTGTTCAGAACTAGTCAGTAAAGATGTGGGCTCTTAAATATATTTGGTTATGTTGTGCATCTCTTCCAAATAACCAACAACTCATGAAAATTAATATCTTACTCTCTGTTTAATCTATTTTGGGTGACCGTTTCATACACTTTGGCTTACTCCTTTTGTCACACAAGTGATTGTACCTTTGTTTGGGGATGAAATGGTCCAAACATGGACCCTCTGACAGTTGGAAACATATTTGTACATTTTTTTACCCCTAAATGGTACACATGAGTACCCTAAGGTGTAACTATGACCCATTAAGGGTACAACTTCACCATTTGTACCCTAAGTGTTCACAAACGGACCCCAACCGTACCCTTTTTTCTGACAGTGAATTTAAATTAATAATTAAATGTATTTTTGGCACTTAAAACCTTTATATATAATGCATTTAAGTATAAGGTATTCATAATGTACATTGTATTGCATTATATCTTTTCATAAATAATTGTAACCAAAGGTAAAATGTATTATAATATTTGAAGGTTTGTTTGTCATGTTTTAATGCATTATACCTTCTAAAGATATAGCAATGAATAGATGAGTCTTATAATGTTAAATGTAGATACAATTATTCATGAGATCATATAATACATTATAAGGTGCATTACAAGGAGTAAAACAATTTTTTTGATAATACATTATTTATAAAGGCTTTAAGTAAAGTGTTTCCATATTTTTCTTACCCCATTGACAAGTAATTGTTGTCATGTTAAGCAAAAGTTTGTTAGGTTTATGCTTAAAACAATACTAAATATTTGCCAATGGGGTAAGAAAAATACATTTATTTCCAAGATATATTCTCTGAAAACAAGTCTGGTTATCTTATTTTATCAATGTTAATATATTTTAACAAAAACACGCTGTTTTCCAAAACATCTGAATAATCAAGGAAAATAACATTTTCATAACCTAATAAAAACGTTCACAGAACATAAAATCGGTAGCTAGGATGCTGATAAAAAAACATATATGTATTTTTGCCAATACATATGATTTGTGTGCTTTATGCAAAGTCGTCAAATCCATTTGATTGCTTTGCGTGAGACCCCAAATTCAAGTCATTACTCACTACTCTTCATTTGAAAAGTGTATTTATAAAGCTAATTAACTTTATTGCACCATAATCTTCAATATTATTGGATTAAGGTCATTCCTGGATTAAGGAATGAGGTAAAAAAATCATTTGTTTTCCTTCAAAAATCTATGAGAAACTTGCTGTGCAGGCAAATAAAAACACAGTTGCTATTGGTAACATGCCTGCATAGTCCTCACTATGTAGGTCACTGCCGTAGACAGCAGCAGTTTAACATGGCGGCCCTGATGGTGTTTCCAGAGTGGTGTCTTATTTTTACGGCTGTGTTTTTTGGCTCTTTTCCTGCCTGCTCGTCGAGTTAGTGAGAGACGAGGTTGTTTCACACAGCTGAGAGAAATACTACAGGAAGAGAGCGAGAGAGAGAGAGAGACAGTAATGAGAAAAGGTGTGGGTCAGCAGAAGTTTCACAGGGACCTGAGTGAAAGCAGTAATGATGTCATCGTGGCCGACCTCAATGAGGCCTTCCTTGAATGCAGCTGTGCTTTCATGTGCCCATACCCCACACTACACCCGGACTGAGCTCCACACTTGTGACAGAATCTAGAGCACAAATCAGAGAGTCAAATAAGTTGTCATCAGTTATTATGCTTTAACTGTTTTCAGTTGGCTTTCGAGTAGCAAATGTTTGCACAAGAAATATTATGAAAGGAATATTTGGGTTCAGCTGAAAATAATATTTCTGTTTACTCAAAAATGAACTTTTGCTGAAAATGTAGTCACCCTCAGGCCATCCAAAATGTAGATAAGTTTGTTTCTTCACTGGAAAGATTTAAAGAAATTTAGCATTACATGACTTGCACACCAGTGGATCCTCTGCAGTGAATGGGTGCCGTCAGAATGAGAGTCTAAACAGCTGATAAAAACATCACAATAATCCACAAGTAATCCACATGACTCCAGTCCATCAATTAACGTCTTGTGAAATGAAAAGCTGCATGTTTGTAAGAAACAAATCCATCAAGACGTTTTTTTAACTTTAAGCCTCTATCCATAATATTGTTTTCTTCAGTGAAAAAGTCCTCTCGTCTGAATCAGGAGAGAATTATACACAGATCAAGCACCGTTTACAAGTGAAAACAGTCCTAAACAGTTCTAAACAAATATGTCGGTGGATTGTGATGTGTGAGGACAACAGGGGATGGACTTTTTCGTGGAGGAAGCGTTACTATGGATTATGGACTCGCATTTTGGCCAGAAGCGATGATTTAAAGTTAAAATGCCTTAATCATGGATTCATTTCTTACCAGCACACAGCTTTTCGCTTCAAAAGATGTTAATTGATGGACTGGAGTGGTGTGGATTACTTGTGGATTATTGTGATGTTTTTATCAGTTGTTTGGACTCATTCTGACGGCACCCATTCACTGCAGAGGATCCATTGGTGAGCAAGTGATGTGATGGTAAATTTCTCCAAACCTGTTCTGATGAAAAAGCAAACTCTTTCAAATCTTGGATGACCTGTTGTTGAATACATTTATTGAATTTTTTTTTTTTTTTTTTTTCATTTTTGGGTGAAGTATTCCTTTAAAATTGTTCCAAAAGTACAATTGGCACACAGATTTAAAATGCATTTTAAATAAACAAATGCCTCTGATAAACTGTGTTACGTACATAGTTTATGGCCTGCTGGATGGGTCTGGATATGGGTTTACTTTAAGTTTCACTTTTGGACTTTGAAGTTGCTTAAATATAAAGATTACACATGTTGGATGCACCATATATTTTGTCTGGATTATCCAAGGCCAGTAATTATTTCAGTATGTATTATTGGGCTAATAACTGGCCTTGGACAATCCAGACAAAAAATACAGTGAGTCCAACAGCTGAAATCCTTCATTCTCACCAGTGCCAAATTAAGCATCCCAACATTGTCTTTGTTTATGAACGGAAGAGCCAAATGGCCACACTTTATGCTCCAGTGATAATGCCTGTTGGCAACAGATGCAAAGAAGCCACTGGCAGAAGTCCTGCATATCACAGGACACAACTGCTAGCTCTTAAACTCCTGAACTGGTGTGGTAATTGCAAGGACATTTTGGTTCATTTCTGTACAATGTTCTTTAGTAGGCAAAATTTAAGGAAATGTAAAAGCTGTTTAATGTGAAACAACGTTTGCAATGATGCAACATTAAATTATTCTTAGTATCGATTAGAACATATCTGAAATTATTATACAGCTCTTTGGAAGGCTTGATTCTGATTGGTCAGTTGTGTCATTGTGTAGTCAATCAGTATCACCATCTTAAAAAGACTAAAAGGGTTTATTTATCTTTAAAAATCCATAAGATGTGTCGCGTAGGCAAAAGAAACTGCTTTTTGCATTAACGGAATTGGTTAACTTTTGTACAGCCATGTTTTCACTGAACGGCTTCCGATTCTCTCCTGAAAAAGGCCGTGTTAAATGAAACAACTGAATACACATGTGAGTTTTGTGGTAAATTGCAAACTTTACTCAACTTCTGTCTCACTTTCTCTCAGATCCTAATCAGCGGATGGGAGTAATAGCTGCGGGAACGCTGGTGACATTCCTGCTGGTGGTTCTTCTCTCTCTGCTGTGCTGCTGCTTCCTCTGTAGCAACAAAGACAACCGCAAGTAAGTTTCTCAATCCAGTTCTTACTAAGTCCCAACCTTCTGAATTAAAAGCTAAAGGTTGGAATACTTTCTCCAATTACAGTTTAATACGCAAAGACAACTATTAGAGTTGTATTGTGAGCTACCGAAACAAACCTTCCGCCTATGAAAACCCATAGATATGAAGCTGGATATGTGCGATGCTAACGTTCAAAAGCATCAGTTTTCAAATCTTTCCAGCATATTAATATTGTTTTGAAGTCATAACATGATATTCTTTAAGTAATTGTGTGAGAATTACGCTTTATTAATCGAAACTCTGTAAATTTGTGTGAAAAGGAATAAAAGGTGTCAGAGTTTTACTGCCTCTAGTGTTCATTTATTTTAGAAAAAGTGAAATGTACTTACTGGTACGTATTTCGCGTCTCGCTAAAAAGTGCCATGAGACCAGGTAGCAAAAATACATTGTATGGGTCAAAATTATTGATTTTTCTTTTGTGCCAAAAATCATTAGGATATTAAGTAAAGATCATGTTTCATGAAGATATTTTGTAAATTTCCTACTGTAAATATATTAAAACTTTAGTAAAAAAAAAATAGTAATATGCATTGCTAAGAACTTCATTTGGACAACTTTAAAGGTGATTTTCTCAATATTTAGATTTTTTTGCACCCTCAGATTCCAGATTTTCAAATAGTTGTATCTCGGCCAAATAGTGTCCTATCCTAACAAACCATACATCAATGGAAAGCTTATTTATTCAGCTTTCAGATGTATAAATGACTGGTTTTGTGGTCCAGGCTCACATATAAGTAATTGGCATTTAAACTGGACTTTCACAACTCCTCCGGATTCACAGATGCTTTGTAAACCTCAGATTTGATAGGTGAACGTGTATGTTAATGAATTCCAACCATTTGTAAATAGGACACTTTCATTATTTGAGTGGTTTGATGTCAAAATTGGGCTAAACCAATAGTGTGAGTTTGAGGCAGAACTACTTGCAGAACTTATATGCTACACTTTATAATTTAAGAAAATTCAAAGCACGTAAAGTATTTAGAGTGTCAGATATATCCCTTTACTAATGAAATAATCAGAAATACTAGTTTAAACTCAAACGCATTTCTGTTCAAAAGTTTAGGTCTTATGCTCACCGCTACTGCATTTATTTGATAAATAAATATAAGATATTTTCTATTGTAATATATTACAAAATGTAATTTATTCCTGTGATGCAAAGCTGAATTTTCAGCATCACTACTCTAGTCTTCAGTCACATGATCCTTCAGGAATCATTCTAATATGCTGATTTCGTATTATCAAAGTTGAAAACAGTTGTGCGGCTTAATATTTTTTATGAAAACAATGATGCATTTTTTTTTTTTGTCAGGATTCTTCAATGATTCTTTGAAGTTTTGTCATAATTAATATAACAGCTTTAAACAATTAACCTGGAGTGGTTCTGCTCACACTGTACAAACTATGTGTGAACGTAACCGTATTTGATGATGTAAAACGGGCCATATTCTGCATCGACGGTGTGAACGTGTCCTTTGTGTCTCCCTCAAACTCACTCTGCTCTTACACCCCTGGCAAAAATCATCTTTTAACAAAGCCTGTCATCAGAATTGTTCACAGTTCGCTGAAGTGAAAGCCTCCTCTGTTCTACGTGGTCAGTCGGGAAAACTCAAGACTCTCGTGTTCTAGAAATCACAGTCGGCTGTTTTCTTAAACTTTCCACCTTTTCTAAATGGCTGGAAAACTACAGAACGTAAAGACCAACTGAGCCTAGATTTCCTCAGTTTGCCCGTGAGGCAAATGAATCCATCTTTTCCTTCTTCATTTGAACATCATATCTACAATCTCGATGTCGTTTATGCTAGAAGGCTATTGATCTACACTAACACACATCTACGATATGCAATCCATTTCTAGTCAGTGTAATGTTGGTCTAACGTCACCCTTCCTCTTTCAGCCCTGACCAGGAAAACTCCACCAACAGCAAGAAGGCCAAAATAAACCTCTGCGGCGGATTCAGTCGAATCAGCACCAAACTCCCCAGAATCCCTCTGAGGAGACAAAAACTACCCAAAGTTGTTGGTATGTCTTCATTTTCCATCATCTGAAATTACATATGGTTTAGGTCAGTGTGTCATGAGTAAACAGATCCATGCAACAGATGAAAGAAGCTCTTAATATGATGTGCCTGATGTTTAGTCTTCAATGGTTTAACAAAAACAGCATATTTAGCAAGTATACATACTTTTCATATTAGAGCATTATTTTGATGCAAATCTCCCTCAGCCTAAACAGACAGTGAAATTTTTATATATTAGCAAAATAAACAATGTTCATAAGTGAAAAGGACACCACGAGCATATAAAAGTTGACTGACTTAAAGTACATTTTTATCAAACCAGTTATGAAAAAAAAAGCCTAATATTTTGAATATTTTTATTGTTCCAAATAAAATAACTATGTGGAGAAAAACTATAATTATATATAAGGGACCAACTTATTAAAGCCTGTTTATGAAAGCTAGATAAAGTTAAAGGTATTTTAGAGATATCAAAGCTGCAGCGCAACAAAAAATGTACACCTCCAAATGAACTAAAAATATGATTTGGAATAATGTTCCAAAAGGATGTGGGGTTGTTTAAAAATGACTTTATCCATTTAACTTTAAAGGAATTATTAAGAGTGGATAAATCCACTAACTCAAAACCCCCCATAGCCCGATCAGCTAGCATAATGCTTTTTGGTTTTTTTTTAATTAAGTGAGTTTTAGAATTCCAAACAGTCTACTATAATTTTGTCCAATGTTTTATAAATTTCCACAGAAACATCCAGTGCTATAGCAGGATAGATAACCTGAGATAACCCATCTGTTTTAGAAAGCAACACTCTACCTGCTATTGACAGATCATGCTGTAAGCAGGAGTTTAATTTGCGTCGGATAGAGAAAATAAGAGGTTCAAAATTAAGCTTTGATCTCTTTTTCTGATCTTTACATATAATTATACCCTGGTATGTGATCTCGGGATTGACTGGGATGTCACAAATTTTAACATCAGTAGAATCTTTTATAGATACAAGTTAACATTTACGGATTTAACATTTACGGATTTTAAGACTTAAACCAGAAGCAGAAGAAAAAAAAATTATTATGTCTTAGGCTAAAGGAACTTGATCTTTATTTTCCAAAAAAAGAGTTGTGTCATCAGCCAGTTGGCTTATTAATATTGATCGATTTGCCACAGAGATACTTTTTTTTAAATGTGCCTTGATGCCTCTATCTATATTAAACCTATGAGTAGTACCATGTTGTAATTTGATTGAAGCATTGGCACTATTGTACAAAGTTTGAATTGCATTAATAAAATTGGGGCCACAACCAAAAATATTCAAGGACTTAAGAATAAAAGGAAATTCAGTTGAATCAAAAGCTTTATAAAAATCAAGAAAAAGCAGGAAACTGTCATCAGGGATCAAATCTGAGTGATCTAAAATATCAAGAACGAGTCTAATATTGTTTAAAATAAGTCTGTCTGTCATAAAACTCCATTGACATTCGTCAATTTCATAGGACTATGACTAATATTTTGTAGTCGTTATTTAGGAGACTTATAGGTCGCCAGTTTTCCAGTTAAACCACTTTTTGAGGTTTAGGGATCACATGTACAAAAATCAGATGGTGCGCTTACCATTCTGGTGATGAAATTGCATCACTTGCACTGTTTGCGGACCCTTGCGTACACGTAAAAACCGAAGTATACTCTGGCCTTAATAGGCTTCATCAGACAGTGAATGCTTTTGGTCTCTCAAGATGTGTTTTTGTTGGGATTTTTTTTTGAGTGGCATACTCGATAATGTCAGTGTGTACATCGATAAAACACCATTAAAATTTACGAACTGTAACATTTCACAAAATATCCTTTTTTTATGTTTCACGATATAAGGATGAGTAAATTATGACAGTTTTAAATGTTTGGGTGAAACATCCCTTTACGCAAATCATTTGTTGGTTGACTTAACTCTGTGGTGCTTTCAATTCATTGCTGTGTTTGATTAAATGGTCTGTCAAATCAACTTCTGGTTCAACCAATGGCATGAGTAGAGGCAGATAGGGGTTTTTTGGGAACCTGTTTGGAAGGAATCATAATTCAAGCAATTCCCTTTGGTTCTGCTACTGGTTAAGAGCTTCAGTCGGATTGAAAAGCGCTCTGCGTTGACCCAAACAAAGTCTTTAGGGTTTCATCTGAATGGAATGCTTTGGGTGCACGTTTTATTTCCCTTGGCTCCCTGTGAAGCTTCGAGTCCTATTAATCTGTACCCAAACAGACATTTGTTTTCTTATTCACCGCATTTCTCCCCTCATTTCCCTATTTCTTGTTAAAACAGACGGCTGGGAGCTGACCGTTCCCCAATCAAAGACTCCTCTGTTTTTGCCAGGATGGAACCCCTGTGTGGAGTTCTTGTGGTTGGGGAACTGTATGGCTGCAGCTGCCAGGAGTCCGTTTTAGAGGGAATGTTAAAGTCCCCATGAAATCAAAATTAAAGTTTTTTGGGTGTTAGTATCAATATGTTAGTCTTAAGGTTATCTATAAGGCGGTGTGCTCCAAAACAGTGACAAAATTCGCATTTAGAAACACGATAGCACGGAGCGGATCACATGCGCGAGTCGGCGCAGACCACAAAATGTATCGGAGCTATTTGAATTCTACACAGAATGCTAGATTTTTTAGCAATATGGATGAGATTGTGGCTGGCATACCCTGCGGCTTTACGGAGCTCAACGGCTCTGAACGGCTCTAGCCCAAGCTGTGATATAAACGAACGCTATTGGCTATTTTAAAAAGGGGCGGGGCTGCTTGATATGTCCCGCCCTGTCTTCCTGTTTCAGTTAAAATGACGTCAACACATAGAGTAACGCTGCGTGTTTCTAAGCATTTCAGGGGACCTTTAAAGTTGCCATGAAAGCATATTATACTTTTTTCGAGGCAGTTTGTTTGTGATATTCATTTTGGACTTGCATTCGTCTCAGGGACCAAATCATTAAAGGCATGGCATACTTAAGTTAGGACCGCCGAACATTAAATAAAGTGAGTTGGGCTTTTTAAATAGAAAAATGTGGGTTAGTTTAGCTGTGGAGTTTTACAGCTGTTTTGCTTTAGCATGCACAAATAAGAGGTCAAACAACTAGACCAATTCACATTGAATAGACCATGCTTTCCACAATTTCCTGAATGAGGAAAGCTCACACAAAAATAAAAACTCCGTCATCATTTGCTCACCCTCATCTTGTTCCATACCGGTGGAAAACAAAAGACAATTTTAGCAAATTGCAGAAGCTGCTCTTTGTCATACCGGGGCTGTCAAGTTCCCAAAACAACAAAAAAAGATCATAAAATCTTCCCTGGAACTCATGTTTTTTTTAAGTCTTCTGAAGTCATAAATACATTTTGAGGGGAACAAACCATTTAAGTCAAGTACTTAAATATCTTTTACATTTGTGCATATAAAAAGTTTACACATTGCAATCAGATACTAATTAACTTGATTGATATCAAAATGAATGACATCAAATTAGGTACCATATTTGAAAAAAACAAGACACACAAGAATGAGATTTTAGATTAGATTTACAGCCCCTGGTCACTTTGTGCTTTATATTCAGACTGCTTTTTTCCCATGAAACAAAAGAAAAAATATAATTTGGCTGTGGAGTGGGTAAATGATGACAATTTTATTTTCAGTGAACTTCTTCCATTTAGCTTGCACTTGAATATGTCTGAAATATCATTGCATAGATATGAAATTGTATATCTATATAAAAATTAAAAATAAAAAGAAAGAAAGAAAGAAAAGCTATTTCTGTTTAGTTAACATTTTTCAATGTAAGATGTCAGAGCAAATTATTGTGCACATTTTTCAACTTTGGACACTTAAGTCACACTTGAACATATCTGAATGTCATTGCATTAAATAATAATAATAATAATAATAATAATAATAAAGTGCCATTTAAAGAAAGACAGCAAAAGCACAGTTTTAAAGCAAAACATTTCACAAAAAGATAAGCTTGTTAGCTTTTATATGATAAAATAATAGATAATCTGTTTAAAATTAAAGGTATTTAGACAGTAAGTTGTCTAAATGTGTAAAATGTTCATACTTAACTGGAGAGGATTTGCAAGGAGGAATGGCAGAGGATCCCCAAATCCATGTGTGAAAAACTTGTTGCATCTTTCCCAAAAAGACTCATGGCTGTATTAGATCAAATGGGTGCTTCTACTAAATACTGAGCATTTTTCAGTTTTTCTTTTTTAATAAATCTGCAAAGATGTCAACAATTCTGTGTTTTTCTGTCAATATGGGGTGCTGTGTGTACCTTAATGAGGAAAAAAAATTAACTTAAATGATTTTAGCAAATGGCTGCAATATAACAAAGAGTGAAAAATTTAAGGGGGTCTGAATACTTTCCGTACCCACTGTATATATATATATATAAGTACTGAATTTAACAAAATACTGATTAAAAATACTCATACTAATTTAACTGAAATTACAATAATATGGTACACTGTACATACTGTTTTATCTAACAAAAAATCACTATTGAGAATAAAGGGAATTTATTAAAAAAAAAAAAAAGGAAAAGGAAAACATCTGGATGCATTACATATTAAGAATTTTGGTGAGTGCTTAAACTTCATGAAAATAATTTCACAGTGCAAAAACAAAATCGGTAGCCTACTTTTTTTTTTTTTTTGAGGGGACATGCAGGAAAAATGCACCTGCATTTTTTGTGAGATTCATCTATTTACGTTTTACTTCTATATCATACTAGCCAAATGTATGGTCATGTTCTCACATATTTAACAAAGACCAATGAAACACTAAAGAATCGAGCCACGGACAATGTTCCTCTTGATGTAAATTTCTCTTACATGTTTCTGGAGAGGTGTTAGAGATACAGGCCACCTGCTGGCCTCCACCAGAGTAGTTTCTGCAGCTGTGGGGACTAGTGCAGCTGGGACGTCCCAGTAATACACTTTTGTTGAAGGCCTGTATAGCACAGAGTGGGCTGCCAGACCGGC